CTTTGAGCAGTACAACTGGTTGTTTGTTTTGCTTGGAAGGGGAAATGGCCACTTCCACGATTGTATGCTGATTCATGGGATGGTCCAGGACTTAGAAGGAATATGATTGGAAAATTGGTGACAAGAAGGCATGGCAAAGATGCATGTGGATTGACCTCTCTGAAAGGGCCAAAGAAGTGAAGATATTTGTGTCTCGTGCGAATGTCCAACAAAGGGTGACCTCGGCAGATGAGGATTTTAAAAATCAAGTGGATAGAATGATGCATTCTGTGGATACCAGTCAGTCTCTTTCCCCAGCCACTCTTGTAATTGCCCAGTGAGCTCATGAACAAAGTGGCCATGGTGTCAGGAATGGAGATTATGCATGAGTTCAGCAACACAGACTTCCACTCACCAAGGCTGAGTTGGCTACAGCCACTGCTGAGTGTCCAGACTGCCAGCAGCAGAGGCCAACACTGAGTTCCCCATATGGCACCATTCCTAGGGATGATCAGCCAGCAACCTGGTGGCAGGTTGATTACACTGGACCACTTCCATCATGGAAAGGGCAACGTTTTGTTCTTACTGGGATAGACACCTACTCTGGATATGGATTTGCCTTCCCTGCACACAATGTTTCTGCCTAAACTACCATCCATGGACTTACAGAATGCTTTATTCACCCCCATGGTATCCCACTCAGTATTGCCCTGGATCAAGGAACTTACTTCACAGCAAATAAAGTGTGACAATTGGCCCATGCTCATGGAATTCATTGGTCTTATCATGCTCCCCATCATCTGGAAGCAGATGGCTTAATACAACAATCGAATGGTCTAAATTTGCAATTATGGTGCCAGTTGGGTGGCACCTTGCAGAGTTGCGGCAATGTTCTCCAGAAGGTTGTATATGCTCTAAACCAGAGACCATTATACGGTACTGTTTCTCCCATAGCCAGGATTCATGGGTCTAGGAATTAAGGGATGGAAATGGGAGTGGTATCACTCACTATTACCCCTAGTGACCCACTCACAAAATTTTTTCTTCCTGTCCTGCAACTCTATGCTCCGCAGGTCTAGAGGTCTTAATTCCAAAGGGATGAATACTCCCACCTGAAGACACAACACGGCCACTCTGGGCTCCTCATGCATCTGGATTAACAAGGAAAGAAGGGAGTTACTGCATTGGCTGATGTGAATGATCCTGATTTTCTCTGAAAATCAGAGAGATATTACATAATGAAGGTAAAGAATATGTCTGGTATAATATAGGAGATCCTTTAAGACATCTGTTAATACTAGCATGCCCTGTGATTAAAGTCAATGGAAAACTGCAGCAACCCAATTCCACCATGACTATTAATGGCCCAGATCCTTTAGGAATGATGGTTTTCATCACCCCACTGGGCAAAGAACCAAGACCAGCTGAAGTGCTTGCTGAGGACAAAGGGAATATAGAATGCACGGCAGAAGACAACAGTTCTAAATACCATCTGTGACCATGTGACCAGTTGTAGAAACGAAGACTAATTGTTTTTAGTATTTCTTCCTTGTTTTGTTAT